CACAGATGCATGCATACACACACACACACACACACACACACACACACACACACACACACACACGAGTGGGGAGAAACAGGAAGGATGATGGGTGATGCCCAGGAGAGAGCAGAGACAGGCAGGGAGGAGCACAAAGGAAGACAGGCACCATCAAGGGGGAGGAAGATACAGGAGGACGTGGGAGGTGATGCTCCTGGACCAAGATGCCAGGTTGAGCTTTCTGCTCTAGGGCTATGGACAAGCAGACTCTTTCCAAAACAGAGAACAGAACAGCCAACTCTAGCCTTGGCCCTGGCCTGGGGCTCAGCTGCTCCCAGCCTGGGAGTGGAGGGGAGCCAATGGCTAAAGCCTCCCGTGGGCCAAGTCAGGACTTCCTCCTCCAGGTGTGGAAGGACAAGGCTGTTCTGATGGGGGAAGATTGGTCCAGCTAGAGTTTTCCTGCCTTGCCCACAGTCAGGACAAATCTCTCTCACCTGCCAGTCCCACAGATGCTCAGACCCAACCAAGTAAACACAGAGACTTATATTGCTCACAAACTGTATGGCCGTGACAGACTTCTTGTTAACTGTTCTTTTATCTTAAATTAACCCATTTATATAAATCTATTCCTTGCCACGTGGCTGGTGGCTTACTGGAGTCTTTACATGCTGCTTGTCCTGGCGGTGGCTGCAGTGTCTCTCCTCCTTCTTCCTGTTTCCCCAATTCTCCTCTCTTTTTGTCCCGCCTATACTTCCTGCCTGGTCACTGGCCATCAGTGTTTTATTTATATAGAATGATATCCATAGCAGTCCAGCTCCTTGTGAAAGAAGGAAAATGGAATGACAGCAAGAGGTAGAAGTCTGGGGACTGACATTTTGTCAAAACGTGCCTGGAATCCTTGACCCTTTCCTGCTTCAAAACCACTAAGACTTCCAAACTGAGCCCCAGTACCAATGCCAGCACTTTCCAGGACTCAGCTTCACTCCCTTGAACAGCCTTCTCTGCCAACAGACTCACCCTTGTGCAAAACACTTGGGACCTAGCCACTCATGTCCCTCTGTCCTCACCTTTACACATCATTGCACTTGGGCCCCCACAGTCACCACCTCTCAGAATCCCACCTCTAAAAGAGCCCGGGCTATCTCATCTCCTGGACAAGCACTCCCTCATCCCAGATTCTCCTGCCCGCCTCGCTGCCTTCTAGAGTTTAGACCTCCCTGGGCTCAGAAGATAATAGTGTGTATTTTTGCTTCTCACCCTTCAAAAAATGTTAGTTTCTTGGAGCTGCATTTCCACAGAGCTCAGAAACCAGCACTGTTCCCTGGGTGTGTCTATCTCACAGACATTGCATAAAACCCAAAAAATTAAACCAGAAAAGACTGTTTCCTATTCTTTCCCTTCCCACCCCCCACTTCCTTCCCAGATAAGTTTTTCATTGGGTCCCAGAGGTAGACGTTGCAAAACAAGCAGGATGAGCTTTGGATCCAGTCTTCAAGTGAAGGCCTGTGTGGCAGAATGGTCCTTGTCTCCGGATGCCATCCGACATTGTCAATGGGAATGTACTAAGCTCAACGCCAGCTTTATCCTAGTGGAAAGGGTGTTTGTGAGAACATGACCTAGGTACCTAGAGACCACAGGTGCAAGAGTATTTACAGGGACTGCAGACTCAGCCTGAGCATATAGCAGCTTCTCCTCCTCCTCCTCCTCCTCCTCCTCCTCCTCCTCCTCCTCCTCGGCCCTGCAGTGCACAGCCCAGGGTTCTGGATTCCACTGTAGTATAAACAGATAGGAAATGCCAGGTTAATTTAAAGACTGATAAGAAATTCCAGAGGAGAGCCGGGCGGTGTTGACGCATGCCTTTAATCCCAGCACTCATCCTCAACATCTGTCTTCAGATGTCTTTAGCTTAAGGTCAACTTCGAGCCTGGCCAGGAGACAAGGCGGGAGAAAGATGGGACCCTAGCTAAAGTAACCAACTTGTCCTGGGTTGCCCATTACTTTCTATATTCCAGTACTGAAGGTCCCACATCCAGGGACCTTCTCTGCCGAGAGGAAGGTTATAGGCCCATGGTGGGTTAAGCCTCTGTACCCTCTGGTTGTCGGGGCCTCATACTGCGATAGGAGAGGATGGTTCCCACCAATGGCATAGGAAGTGACCTGTCACTCGTTTGCAGGGATCTACGCTGAGTCTTGGAGAAGCTGGCTAACTCACTCAAGGTAACACAGCTCACCCGGGATGCCTGCCTTCTTCTTGGGAAGGGATTAGGAGGGAAACATAGCTGTAGCCTTCTGTGGGCCAAGAGCACTGGAGCTCTGCTGCTGGCCTTGCTCTTATTCAGAGGCCTAAGGGAATCCAGCTTAATGAGCCATCAGAGCTCAGTGAAGAGCTTAGGTACAGCCCCACAGGGCCAGGGGGAGAGGCGGGGCTATAAGGCCACTGACCCTTACAGCTGTTTGAATTTACAGCTAAGTGGCCCTGAGGAAGCTCCAGCCTACAGAAGAGAGAGAAGCCCTTGCTCTGGGTCTGTGAGGCTGGGAAGGAAATGTGGGAACTTCAAATCCCTCCCCTACCCCCATCCTGGACTTGCAGATCTCTGGGGAACCTCACCCTCTCCAACCACATGGCATCTGCTCAGTGCTCATCTCGACATGAGCGGAATTGCTCCAGGTCTTGTTTTCTCTGGAATAATGAGCTTGGGCTCTCGGGTGGCTTCTCCCGTGAGCTGGTTGTGACTCTCTCCTTGTCCTGTTTGCTCCCCTCGGCGGTGGCGTTCATCTCAGCACACCGTGCCATTTAAAAGACAGCTCTGAAGCTGGGGGATAGCCATAAAGATTGGAAATAAACAGAGGGAGAAGGGACAAGGTGAAGGTTTTCAGGATGAGCTGTTACTAGATAAATCCCGAGGAAGTTCTCTAGAACATTCCAAGAGTGGGTGACCAGAGTAGCCCGGAGCGCAGCTCTTCTCTGAGCTCCCCCATCGCTCATTTATATCTGTGGTGCTCGGTTCTCACGGTTGAAGCTCGGTTCTCTCTGGGGTCTTCGCATGGGCAGCTGGGAAGCCTCACCTCCCTCCCACCGTTGGCTTTTTGACAGAACTTTGCTTTTATCCCAGCTACGCCGCGCTTCACTGGTTCATCTCTTCAGTCTACTGGCCTCCAGGTGTTTAAGGACCACACAGATTACCTGGCCCCTCCCACTTCCGTCAGCCACAGTGCTGACCCCCTTGCCTCCTTCAAGCCCTCAGTAAAACCACGCACTCCACAGAGTTTGAGTCTTGGCCCAAGGAAAAAATACCAGCAAAGCCATTTCAATGCTTGTTCGTGTGCCTGCTTAGATAATATTCCCTTCTGTCTACACTGGCTATGTGCACTGAGACCCGCCAGGCCGGGGCCTGCCAGACAGAGCTGTCTTTCCATTTTCTCACTGGCCAAGCCCAAAAGTCCACCCATTTTTCCCAAGCTCTGCATGCCCGCGGAGCTAAGCCAACACCCCAGAACTCTACAGCCAGATACCACGCCTCGTTTTTTTGTGACCTGAGGAGGCATATGTGTAGACAGGAGATTTTGGGGGTTTAGAAAGATGTACCGAGTACATAGTGCGCATTCAATAGATGTTCAGGAAGTGAATAGAAAGAGGTCCCTTCAACAGAGAGCTGTGAAGGTCAGAGCTACAGCTACATATGGCCTCCGAGGTTGATTGTCCCCATCAGGCCACTCCTAAAATCCCTAGGCAGAGGGACTGGTTGCATTCCTAACTATCGAGAGGATAAATCCAGGAGAAAAATCTGAATTCATCCACCCACGGACTCATTTACTCCATCATTCATTCGTTTAATGAGCACACACTGTGTGCCAGACCTCCAGTAGGCGTGCAGGATTCAGGAGCAGACTGTAGAATGACCTGTAAGAACCCACTCACCTTGTTGATAAGGGCAGCCCCGGGAACAACTGTCTGTTTGTCTCTCTATCCTTCCTAACTGCTCAAATGGGTTGAATAAAGCCTGTCCCGAGCTCCTGAGGGAAGGGATCTTTATTCCTCCTTGGAAGCGGTCATGTTTTAGCGAGGATAAACGAAAAAGTCTATTACCCAGTTCCACCCTCCTCCTGCTTTCCAGCTCCTAAAGGGACACCAACTGCTAGGGGCGGCCAGGCTTGGTGACAAGAAATAACTGTGTACTGGTAGCATCTCCAGTGTCCTGAATCAGCTCCCGAGTCCATACAGTCAGAGCTTCTTCACGTCTGGCAGAAGTGGTCTTCCTGTAAGCCAGAACAGCAGTTAGCTCCTCCAAGGCCCCAGCTGGGCCTGGGCTAGCATCTAGCACCACCTACTGGCCACAAAAAGAAGAGCAGAGGCCAAGCGGCCACCTTTTCCCTAGGACTCCTTAGGGCCCTTTGTCAGGGCTGCCTGGCTGTTTGCGTACTCCTCAGCTACAGGACCTTCATTTCTCCACCTAAAGACAGAAGGACACCTCCAAAGGTGACAAGAATGCCCCAGCAGGGGCAAAAAACAAACATAGAACTAACGTGAACAGTAAGATCCAGGCCGGAACCTGTGTGCAGGAGACAGCGAGAGGGCAGAGGAGAGGGAGGGAGCAGACAAGAAGCACAGGCCAGCGAATGAGGGTCACAACCACTCACAATGGGCATAGGAGGGTGTGTGCTGGAGGCTTGCATTGAGCCTTACTAGAGACGGATTCAAGGTCCCAGGAAGCAGTCACATGCAGGGCAAGGGCTGAGACCACCTTCATTCTAGACCAGGTCCCAACTCTGCACCCAGGTGCTTCTGGGCAGTGGCTGGCATTCCTCTGGTCTCAGGGAGCCTGCATTGGCTCCGCGATCACAGCTGGAATAAGGAAATAAATGCCTTTCTTGGTGCTTAGCTTGCTTCTGGCTCCTCCTGGTTGAAGATGGCGGTGAAGGCAGATTGGAAAGAGACCAAGAGGGAAGGAACGGGGGTGAGGGCTTCAGCATGAGGTGATATTAAATGAGTCTCCCCCGAGTTCCGCATATGTCAGACTAAACTTTGATTAAGCATCCTTCGGTTTTGAGTCATTGGCTCACGAATGTCTACTCAATGACAGTTTCCTGAGCACTAGCAGAAGCCAACAGGCCTCCTGGCCCCTACTCCCTCTTAACTTCCTCCAAAAGCATCCCAAAGGCACCCATCCCTTCTGCAAACCCAGGAGAGGACAGTACTTCTGGTAAAAGTCCGGGCTTTGAGATCAAACAGATGGGCTGCTGGCTTGGAACAAGTCACATAGCTTTTCTGAGCCTTGGACTTCTCCTCTAAAACCCGGGGCTGCTATCACCTCCTAGGACCAGTGGAAAATAAGCACACATGCCCCTTAGCACAGCACCTGGAAGATGAGTTCAATAAATATTGGCTAGAAAACAAGAAGAGAAAGACCTTAGCCGCTGTCACTGTGGCTCCTTGCTTGGAATTCCAAGGCATGGCTCAGCAGCCCTCCCCCAGCCAGTTCTCAGCCTCCTGTAGGCGAGGGAAGAAAGGCGGGGGGGCAGGGGGCCTGTTCTCACCCAGGGAAGATTGCTCTTGGAGTGGGTGATGACTGTGTGCCTCACCCACTGGGGAAGGCGCTCAGTGAGTGAATGGAAAAAGCCAGCACCCCCTCTTGGCTGCATTCATTATTCAAAACTTCCCACAGCCTGATGCCTGCACTGGAGGGTGTGGGACGATGCTCCAGTCAAGCACCAAGCAGGTTCCCTGCCTGAGATGCAAGGGGCCCAGACCTGAAGGGAAGATTGGGCCATGAAGAACTCTGGTTCCCATTAAGTCCAGGCGATAGAGATGGCCAGGTGTCTAAAGAGGGGCTGGGGCTTTCCCAAGACCTGGCTCGGGATCATTACTTATCACCTATTGTTCTGCCTGGAAACCACCCAAGGGCTCATTCTGGTGTGGATCCTCAGACCTTACCCCTCTAGCTTGTTCCTAGGTGTCTCAGCAGCAGCAGCAGCGGCCGCTGCTCAGAGGCTAAGTTTAAGTCTCCTGCAACTGAGTTCAACTTAAATTGAAACTACAAGCCCTCTAGCACAAACCAGGTCTGGAGAACTCAGTAGGCATGGTGGCTGGTGACCATCATGTTGGATGATGCAGATGGAAGTGCCTTCTTCATCTGCTGCGCTGCTCTAGGTCTGCTCGGAGCGCTAGCCATATCGAGAGAAACATGGCCAAGCTAAAGCTTCAGGAAGCTTTAGAAATTATAAGAACTTGACAACGTATGAGGGGAAAGTCTTCTGTACCACCACACTCCACACCAAGCTCCAGAAGGCCCAGGGTGTACTATGAGGTAGCAAGTGGTTGTCGCAGGTCCTCCTCGCTGATAACGAGAGAGAGCAGGAGGCACCACGGCTCTCGGAAGAGGGTATTTTTTGAAAGCCAGTCTTAGGAGAGGCGTTGGAGTTGAAGCATAAGCTGGAATCTACAGTGAGGAGGAGCACCAAACCGAACCTCCCGTGTTTTTTGCTCAACCATGATCTGCTCGCCCACGGACAACCCCCACACACACACACACACCACACACACAAGTATCCGTGTCACTCAGGATGTGGGCAAGTGGCTTCGTTTCGGTTGTGTGGGGTAGGGGCAGCTGGGAGGAGAGCAGTGTCTGCGCCAGGGAAGGAGCCTGAATAATTTGATGGCTCCTCCGAGGAGAAGCATTCCTCAGAGTACTGAACAGATGGCCCAGCAAAAGGGGTTAAGTAAAGAGCTCGCTGTGAGAAGTCTTGTCACTCTCATCAGAGCGGAGATCCATGAGGAACAGACTTTTAGTAGGTCCGAAATAGCAAGTGCCATGCAGGAACAAGAGCCGCCATCCCCTTTTCCCCAGCCCCCTCCCGACCCATGCACAGGCTCCCAGTCCTGACAAGGGACCAACAGGGGTGTCTGCAGCCTCTTTCCTAGGGAGGTCAGGGTGGCGTGTGTGCCTCAGACGTGTGTGTCAGCCACACAGGGAAACAGCAATAACCTTGAACTCAGAAGGGTTATCTGGTGGGGTGCTCCTGCAGTCTGCCTGATGGACTCGGGTTGCTGGCGGCTGGGAGCCCTGCTCCATGCACTCTGCCAGGTCTTGTCCTCATGACTTTGCTTTACCCTGTACTTCCTCCCATGTCCTGTCTTGAAGGAGACCCAACAGGCACGCCAACCTGCCTATGCCAGCCAGTCTAGGGTACAAAGCTACTTGACTGGGTCTGTGCAGAGGACTGTAACAAAACAAAACAGAATCTTCCATGCAAGCAAGTTCTGCTAAGCCATCAGTCACCCCTTCTTCCTCCTGTCCGTCTGCAGTGGCTCTCTCTCTTATCTGCCTTGTCTCTCCCTCCCCCCTTACATCCTTTCCCCAGGCTTCTTTGTCTTTCTTCATAGGTCCCAGGAAAACCAAGTCTATTCCCAACTTGTAGGTCTAAGCTGAACTCCACAAAGCTACCCATCATTCACCTCTCACCTCCTGGCTCCCATCTGCAATGGGGACCAGTCCTTTCTACCAGCTCCCATTTGGGGCATAGAACAGCCCTGGCTGCCCACCCCCCACCCTGTCCCCAACACACACTACTGTCTTGTTTCCTTGCCTGCAGCTTCTGCCCACTCTTGGTCTTTGATCTCTTTTGAAACTCCATTCTGAGTCAACATCAATGGCTCATGCTAGAACTTTCTTTTTTCAGGTTCTCCAAAGTCATTATCACGGCTCCAAGGTGAGTAACCTGGATATGAGTCCCACCATCCTTTCGCCTGTCAAGAAACCATATCTTTCCAGTACATGAAGCTCACTTTTATACTGGGTTTTTTTAGTCTATAAATCACAGATTTTATGGTGATACACACACACACACACACACACACACACACACACACACACACACATCACAGGATTGCAAAAAGCAAAAACTATCACCCACTTACTCCTTTGTCTGGCCAGACTTCCCTCCAGAACACAGCAAAAAACTGTCACTGCCCCAATGTGAGGGCAGAGATACCATTTTGACAGAGAAAGTACAAGTGGACACTCGTTTCCAAAATTACCTTTGTATGTCAGTTTTTGTTAGGAACATCTAGCCTGGGGCATGGCAACCTTGGCACTATTGACATTTGGAGCAGGATGAATCTCTGTGGTCAGCTGCCCTGCCCATCACAGGACAACTTTAACAACATCCATGGACCTTACCTTCTACATGTTAGCAGCTCCTCCTCCACCTGAAGTGACCATGAAAAATGTCACCAGATTCCGCCAAATGTCTCTTCCAAATAACACTTCATTGAGAACACTGAAGTGAACACAGATTGTCTTTATGCACCGAGGAACAGATTGGCAACTCCAGACAACCTTGAAAAGCTTTGGGCCTGGAGGACCACTCTCTTGGATTCGACTGGGCCATTTTCCAGCTCCGGACCCAGGATTTTGTCACTTGGCCTCAAGAATGAGAATGACAACTCGTGTGCATTGGGCTTCAGCATTTTCCAGGCACAGAGCCACAGTGTGCACCCCCGTGCAGTCATGTTACCATGCCAGAGGAAGAACCTGACTGCCCTTCATCCTACCCCCACTTTTAGGTATTCATCTCTCAGCTCCTTCTCTGTAGAGATGAGTGAATGCAGAATGAGCACAGAGGCCCCGGAGTCCAAGAGTGCAAGACACTTGCAAACATAAAGCTCCCTATCATTTCCAATCTTGAGTTCCCTTCTGCCTAGTTGGCAGACATATAACCTTAGTCCTTCTGGGGCCTTTCCTGACCACCGTTCTCCATAAGATCCTGGGCCTTAAGTTAAGTCAAGACATGACGCAGGGACAGACAGTGTGGGATGCTGTCAGCCATCTGTCCATTTGGATTGCTACCAAAGCATTCAGTGTTACTCTGTCTGGACCGTTTAGGTCTGATGGCTTACTACTTCTGCACAGTGCTTAAGACAAAGCTACCTATCACCCCAATAGTATCCTGTAGTTTCCAAAGAGGGCCACAGCAATATCTTTTACCCCACATACCCTTCATAATAAGCCTTTGAAACGCCTCCCTTCCAAAGATGAAATCTTGTGCCTACAGCAGAAGTGACACCGTGTGGCTCTAAAATGACCTAGAGACCAGCTCGTGTCTTGGTATGCTTGTTCCCTGGTCCTAAGTCCCATACTCTATAAGGAAGCCCAATAAATGACACAGGAGGAAACATACAGGTGTCCCAGCTGAGATCTGAGTAGATGGAGCATGGAAACAACAAGCTTTGGGGTAATCCCAGTCTGTCACTGGTCAGCTCCTCACCCTCAGCCTCTGTCTGCTCTCAGATGTTGTCGGGTAGACATGAAGCAGCCCTAAGATGCTCTTTCCTCATTCCTAACCCTCCAGGTCCATGAGCACAGTAAAATTACTGTTCTATACTTGGAGTGGGCTGTGATGCATCAATGGCAGGTGGAATTCCTGTCTGCCCACATGCCTGACTTTCAGACACTCCTGCAAGAGGTCTCTAGAGAAGAGACCCAGGTATGAGTCCACACTGGTCAAGAACCTGCATGCATCTCTCCTCTCTTCCTGCCCAGGCGTCACTTTTCGGTACTACGTGAAGAGCCTGACTTTCAAATTCTAACCTTTCTGTGGCACTGGGTTTGTACCCAGGCATCTTTTCCTTCCTCTTTTCTTTCATTTCTTCTATAACTTGCCTGGTGGTTTGTGGGCATTTGAAGCACAAAAGTGAATGTATTGTACGGGCTTTTCCCATACAGGGGAGAGCACCAGGAGTCATTGAAAAGGTACCCATTTCAGTGGGAGAGGGTAAAAAGAAAAAATACCAGTTGGCAGGGGACAAAAATGTGTAGATGATTTTTGACAGCTTTATCAAGATATAATTTACACACCACTCAAGGCAGCGATCTAAAGTATACAATTCGGTGACTTTTAGTCTAATCACAGAGATGGGCAACCATCGGTGGTCAATTTAGAACATGTTCATCACTCAAAAAGAAACTTTACATTCCTTAGTCATCACCTTTGAGAACATCCCCAAGTCCCCTCCCTGCTGTCTGACAGCCACATCTGTCTCTGAATCTGTGTCATCTGGATATTTCATACAGATGGAATTGTGTAACACATGGTCCTTTGTGACAGGGTTCTGTCACTGAACAAAATACCCAAGGTTCCTTGTGATGATTAATCTCCATTGTCAACTTGGCTGGCTTTGAAATCACCTAGGAGACACACCTCTGGGTATACCTGTGAGGGTGTTTCCAGTGAGGTTCTAACTGAGAAAGGGAAGACCTACCCTGAATGAAGGTAACATCATCTATACACCGGGGGCCTGGACCAGATATGAAAAAGAGGACGACAGCTGAGCATCAGCATGCCTCTCTCTCTGCTTGCTGATGTGACTCCATGTGATCAGCTGACTCACACTCTCGCCGCCAGCCACACATAGACTGGCTCTTGCTGTGATGCCATCCCCACCGTGGACTGTGCTCTCAAACCCCCAAATCAGGCCTCCTTTCCTGATGTTGCCTCTATCAGGTACCCTGTCACAACGATAACAAAAGTGACCATCTGTGACATTTATCTGTGCTGTATCAAATATGCAGATGAGTATCTTAATCTAAGAAATCCTTTCGGCTTCCTCCACCTTTATTTCAAACTGCAGAAAGTACACTCTTTGTTTGTAAAAGGACATAGTCGTTCCATGTTTGACCTTTGTTTGCAATGAGAACGGACACCAGATACCACATGTCAGTCACAAATCCAAAGTTAAATGACAATGGAGCTCCCAACGTCCCAATGGCACCCTCCCCGTGTTTGGGTGTGTGTCTGCTTTTCCTCTGCGATTAACCTCGTGTGTGTGTGTGTGTGTGTGTGTGTGTGTGTGTGTGTGTGTGTGTGTGTTACACTTTTCCTTTGAACCCTACAAGCTCCCACATGGATGTGTTCTATCCAGTTACCATGAACTCAGAGGGAAGGCCAGGAAGCACCCTACCTTGAAGAGGATCTCCAAAACAGTGTCTAGGGCAAGGGCTCTAATTCTCAACATCACAGGATTGGAGAGCTGTGAGCAGATAGGGTTTAGGACCCAGCGTCCAGTGAGGGCAGCAGTGGGAGCTGCCAGCAGAGTTTGTGGCTGGACTAAGAAGTGGATGAAGGATGGTCTGGAAAGGAGCATGACCATCAGTGAACCACAAAGCCTTTTAGCATCCATTTGCAATGGATGCTGAGCAAACAAACCCACCAGCCACTAACTGGGGGCTTGTGTCTCCGGGGACAGCCTTGAACTCCAGCCAGGAGCCCCATCCCCAAACAAAGGAAAGATGAGGTGCCCTCAGCCCCACCTTGATCTCTGCAGCTCCTTCCAGACCTGGAACATGGCAGCTCTCCATCCCCCCTGGCTTTCTCCGTTTGTGTCAGCAAGGAGCAGACCCCAACATCTTTAGCTCAGTGAGCCGTGGTCCAGCCAGGGCGGCTCTGTGATGAGTGGACATGAGTTTCTGGGCTCTCCTGTCTTGATAACAATTGCTTAGATAGCAGCTTGCAGCATTATGCCCTGATTATCAAGCCCAACCGTTCTTGTTGAGGGAAGACAGGGTTCCTCTGCACCAGGTTCTGCTCCCCTAAAGCAGGGGACAGCAAAGGACAGGCTGCTTAGAGAGACCTACACTTACAGAGGCAGGAGTAGAACCATCCTTTCCCTCTCTCTCTCTCTCTCTCTCTCTCTCTCTCTCTCTCTCTCTCTCTCTCTCTCACTCTCACTCACTAGGGTACCAGACCCAGAGGTAGCTTAGTTAGCCTCGTTTTGGTCTGAGAACAGCAACTGGAACGGGCAACATCCCATGTCATGGAAAGAGACGTCAACTCATTGGAAGTAACAGGAACAACAACTGAACATTACAACCACCTATCACGCCATGCCTGCTTTAAGCCATGGTCCACTCGACACTTCTGGCTCATCTTCCAGACGCAGGGGCTACAGTTGGGTGGGAGAGTCACTCATTTTGGAAGGTAGATAGGAAAGCTGCAGCTTTGTGGGTACCAGGAATCAATCTCTCTCATTCCTTTAGCTGCGTCTATTTCTCATCTGGAGAGGCAAGCAGTCTCATTAAGAATTTTTTAGTTGGAAGCTAAAACACAGTAGATGTTCATCAAGACTTTGACTCTGGATGTGCCAACTCTCCAGTCCAAGAGGACAAAGGGGACAGGGAATCGGGTAACAGAAGGGAGACAAAAGATACCTCTGCCTACTCTCCAGGTACCCTCAGGATGCCGTGAGCCTGGCAGGAAGAACTGCCCACCTTGCTACAGAGCCTCGCCTTGCTGGCTCCCCTCCCCACCATTCTGATGTCTTCCCCTCCCCCACAGCGGTGGCGTCTGCCTGTTTATTTGCTGAGCCCTGGTTTAACAATGCACTGTTTTTATGAGTTGTGCCGTAGTTCTTGGTAAAGCACTTTAATCCACTTTAATGCCTCTACTCTGCTCCTCCGTGACAGCCTGGTGGTTACTCTAATGCACCCCTCTCACCTCAGGGTTACTAATGAGGTCAGAGGGAACGCAATATCCCAACTGAATAATTCACTAATCAGATGCTGCAGACTCCAGTGGTAAAATTTATTTCTGACACCTAAACAGCAAATGGCTTTGTGGACACACTCCCTATGTCTCTTCGCTCCGGAGCTATTTCTGCTAAATGGAGGGCTACTGTGTTTGCTTAACAAAAGAGCTCTGGTCTACCCACAAACATATCTCCTCATCTGGGGCCTTGTATGTCTTCAAGGCAGGAGTGGGGGGGGGCAGAGGTTGGAGAGCTGTATAGATGGGGCTCACATCAGCTGCGGGGCTTCCTTTCCCACTCTGGCAGATGGTGATCCTGAACTCATCTCACCATCCTCATGCTGGGGATAGCTGGACCTCAGACCTGTGTGCCATTGTGAGATGAATCCCTCCAACTAGCGCCTCACTGGTGTGTACACAGTCACAACGCCATTTCCCAAGAAAATCCACATGCTGTTTTCATGGCTTCCAAAGACCCTTTAAAGCCTCATATTCAAGATAAGATGTCTGCATTCAGTTTGGCTGGCTCGTCATCCTGTGTTTCCACACTAGGCATCCATGTTCCTCACTTAGAGGCTAGAGGGGGAAAGCCAGCCATCTCTAAACTCTCTGCCAACTCTGGGAGTCTCTACAGCTCAAGCCGAGCCCCCCAAGGCCCGGTTCTGTGTGTGTCAACACAGCCCAGAGAGTGGGGACCCTTAGGTGGATAGACAGCTACCTCCAATGAGGGGACCAGCGGCTCAGCCTCTCACACCCTTCTTTTAATAGATGAGGGGCCGCATGTCCATCTTTGGGATCTGTCCACATAGAGGGTTCCCAGGCCTCTCCTCGGTTGCAGGTTTAGCCTGCAGCCATAGTGTCCCCATATATCAGACCAACCATCTCGGATCTGGCCATACTCTGCAGGATTATGGCAAGTTGTGTTTTATCCCCTTCAAGTGACCAATGCCTCGCACAAAGAGTCAACAACAGTTCCTGTGATCAGCAATCGGGGTCGCAAGAACTCTCTGTGTTTTGCCTGCCTCCCATGGTCCAACCTTCCACAGCATCAGTGCACCAACCAGGGGCCTCTGTTGTTTGAATTCAGTTACCTACAAAATAGCATGCGCATGGCTGCAAGAGAAACGGACCTAGATCACCTTCAAGATTGGAAGCCGTAA